TTTAAAAAAAAAAAAAAAAAAAAAAAAAAAAATGATCTTCAACCTCCCTTGCTTCAGAATCTCCTAGCTCTGAAACAGTTTCTGGTATTTCTGAGAGTCCTTACCAACTTTCCTTTGAACCATGAATTTATTTACTTCTGATTATGGAGAAGCATAAAAGCTTGGACATAGGGAACCTCGTCCCACCTTCCAGACCTCTGACAAAATAGTTCTAATTGCAAAATTGTATAGTAGTTCACAGATCCATTTAAAGGCCAACATTCTGCTGAATCTAACATCAGCCATATGTTGTTGCAATAAAAAAAAATCCTTTTTTTTTTTTTATTCATAGAGATACAACTATATTTGCCCCTTTAGCGATTATGCATCTGAGAGGTCTTTGTGCAGGGATCAACACAGAATCTCCTATATCTTTGCCAGGTTTTATTCCCCCACACCCTAGATCTCTTGTTACTCTTGTTATAAACCTAGCGCTAACTTCCAACTGGCAAGTTCTTATGATTAGCCAGGATGCAAATACCACTTTCACTCAGTTAAGATTTTGTACATGAAAAGCCTAAAACCAACATCAAACACTAGTCAGAGAAGATGGGGTATGGTAAAAATTACCACGAAACCAGAAAAAGCAAGCAACTATTACTAATTCAGTCACAGGACCATCAAAAAGGTTTCATCTAGGGCTGGCCCGGTGGCGCACTGCTACAGTGCGCCGCTTGAGAGTGCGGTGGCGCTCCCGCCGAGGGTTTGGATCCCACATACAGACCAGTTCCCGCTCACTGGCTGAGCGAGGTGCGGGCGCAGCACCGAGGGTTGCGATCCGTTGCTGGACACGAAAAAAGACAAAAAAGAAAAAAAAAAAGGTTTCATCTAGGAAAATCAGTCCCTCCCTTGCACAAAAAGCACCACAATGAAGAACAAGGCATGAGTTCCACTGGCCCAGTCACCAAGTGGCCAGGCTCCTGATGTATATATGCTGCTAGCACCTCAAGCCACCGGGGAAAGTTATATCCACCAGTAATAATCACAACCTGACACAGTTCCCTCCTCAGCAAAACCAAATAGGCCAAATCCTCCCAGACAGTTTGCTGTCATTGAGGCAGGCACTCAACCTGATTCATTTCTTCCTTCGACCAAGCCATGCACAGCTTATAAGTTGGCACAACCTTTCCCCATGATCTTAAGGTCAACAAGCATGGAAAAGGATCCAAAGGCCCCCAGGTAGTAGCATGGATAGTGTGCACAGTTGCCACATATACAGACAAAGACACCCACACACACATCCCAATGAGGCATCTCCACAAACAAACAAACTGGTTGGTCAAAGCGCTTTTCTTGGTGGGGGAGGCAGTTGGCCAGTATGGGGATCTGAACCCTTGACCTTGGTGTTATAACACCACGCTCTAACCAACTGAACCGGCCAGCCCCATTCAAAGTTCTAACCTACATATTCCACACTTATGGTACCAGTTCTAACAGATGGTATGTATGGATAGAGGGCATTGGCGTGTGCACTGGCAATAACTTACCTGACTGAAGGACTCATCAGCCCTGTTCTAAAAGCTTCCTCCCAGGGCCGGCCCCGTGGCTCACTCGGGAGAGTGCGGTGCTGACAACACCAAGGCCCTGGGTTCGGATCCCATATAGGGATGGACGGTTTGCTCACTGGGTGAGCATGGTGCTGACAACACCAAGTCAAGGGTTAAGATCCCCTTACCGGTCATCTTTTTAAAAAAAAAAAAAAAAAAAAGGTTATAATATACGTATGTGTAAGCATGTTCCCTTTTGATTTTTGAAAAAATGACAATAAAGAACAAAACAGGCTTCATGCAGACAACTATGTGTGTATATGAACTTTTAAATATTATATTATTTGGGGCTGGCCCGGTGGTGCACTGGAGAGTGCGCCGCTTGGGAGCGTGGTGGCGCTCCCGCCGAGGGTTCAGATCCCATGTGGAGACCGGTTCCCGCTCACTGGCTGAGCGCGGTGCGGGCGCAACACCGAGGGTTGCGATCCCGTTGCCAGTCCCTGGTAAGGGCGTGACACCGAGGGTTGCGATCCTGTTACCGGTCAGTAAAAAAGACAAAAAGGAAAAAAATATATATATATTATATTATTTGACGAGCCAGCCACCAAAAAACAAACAAAAAATAAAAAAGTAAGTAAACACTGCATTATTTCTATATGCCTAGAAAAATGTCCTGAAGACACTGTTATCACTGGCCACCCCTTCCACGTTGGCAGGTGTGGGTAACAGTGGGAATGGGGATATGGAGAAAGAAGAGGATTTGGACTTTGTGGTTCATATGCTTTCCCCCCTGACAACAAGCAAGCATTACTTTGTAATAAAAACAGAAAAGAAAAAGGACCAGCAACAGCAGCAACAGCAACAGCGCTGACTCAGAAGCCGTCCATGGCAATCCTGACCCAATGGTGGGACACCCTCTTCTTGGAGCCACATCAGGCCCTCAGTGTATCCACCCACAGGATGCAGGAAGCTTATGGCTTCCTCTGCTTCTCTTGGGGTAGGCAGGTACCCTATGTATTCTTCTCTTCCTCCAGACCTTCCTCCCCCAGCAGCTGGGGGTCTATATCTGTCCCTCCCTGGAAGCACTTCAGGACTCGGGGGAAGAGGGCTCAGTCCACAACAGGTCTTCAGGGAGAGGAGGGCTTCTGGATCCCCGGGCCCTGCTCTAAGTCTATCCCTATAGTCTTATTATGGCCCCACCAGCTGACCACTCCTGAACCTGTCCCTGTTCCAGCCTCATGTCCCCAGTGAGGTGAAGCCCAGACATCTCATTGTGGCAGCTGAGTCCTTTATGACTGGCCCCAGTCTTCCTAGCATTCCCACACTGCAAGTTCTGCAAGACTAGGTGAGTTTTTCACTCTTTACATCCTCAGAGTTCCTACCTCCAATACCTTTGCTCTTTCCATTCCTGTTGCCTAAAATTCCTTTCCCGCCCCAAACTCCAATCTTCTCTCCCAGTTTCCACTTGCTGATGTCTTGTTCTATTCATCCTGCAAGACCCTGTTCACATGTCACCTCCTCCAGGAAGTCTCCCACATTCCTTCCAGAGAGAAGGGTTCTCTTTCTCTTCTGATCTTCCATTTCTATCTTGTGACTCTGAGTGCCAAGCACTGGGAGTGGCACAGATTAGGTGTCAGCTAATGTTTATTAAACTATACAGATTAACACTGCAATTTTCCAGATGAGGAAACTGAGACCCCCAAAAGAGACAGCAACTTGCACAGGGTCACCTCCAACATGCAGATTCCTGCCATGACGTCTTTGCTACTTCTGTTCATGGTCCTCATGCAAGCACTTCAGGTATGGTCATTCTCCACTGTCCCCATCCCAGCACAGAGGTGAGCTGTCAGCTTCTTCTGAACTCTGGAAGGAGGAACAGAGGGAGGAAAGAATGCCTGATCTTTTCCTGGGAATTGCTCAGGCCAAGGGGACAGGTCCAGAAGCTGGTCTTGGGGAGCTTGCAGCCAGTAGTCCCCAATGCCCTTCCCCTCCAGGTATGCTTGTGGCCCTTAGTGCCTTTCTCAGCAGTACAAGCCCCACCTTAGTGGGGGGGGGTGAGGAGCAGGATGAGAGGGGTCTCACTCTCCCAGGTCCCCATCCTCTCCGTCCTTGCCACTCCCGCCCCCTCAGGCCCAAAGCTACCCCATCATACAACGAGACCTCTTCTCTCAAGAAATGCCCCTGGACATGGCCCTGGCCTCCTTTGATGACCAGTATGCTGGCTGTGCAGCAGCCATGGCAGCAGCTCTCCCTGACCTCAACCACACGGAATTCCAGGCCAACAAAGTGTATGCAGACAGCTGGACTCTGGCAAGCAGCCGATGGCAGGAGCGCCGGGCCTGGGGGCCACAGTGGGGCCCCAGCCCTATGCGGTTCCCCCCACCACCCCCAGGCTTCCGCGATGAGCACGGGGTGGCCCTCTTGGCCTACACAGCCAACACTCCCCTGCACAAGGAGTTCAACACAGCTGTGCGTGAGGCAGGCCGCTCCCGGGCCTACTACCTCCAACACTTCTCCTTCAAGACACTCCATTTCCTGCTGACCGAGGCCCTACAGCTGCTAGGTAGAGGCCAGCATCCGCCCCGGTGCCACCAGGTGTTCCGAGGGGTGCATGGTCTGCGCTTCCAGCCAGCAGGGCCCAGGGCCACGGTAAGGCTGGGGGGCTTTGCCTCTGCGTCCCTGCAGAATGTTGCAGCCCAGAGGTTTGGTGAGGACACCTTCTTTGGCATCTGGACTTGCCTTGGGGCCCCTATCAGGAGCTACTCCTTCTTCCCTGGGGAGGAGGAGGTGCTGATCCCCCCTTTCGAGACCTTCCAGGTGATCAATGCCAGCAGACCAGCCCAGGGCCCCACCCGCATCTACCTCCGGGCCCGGGGCAAGCACAGCACATACAACTGCGAGTACATCAAAGGTGAGGCTGCGTGCAGGGTTGGCACCTCCGCAGGAAGCAGGCCTCCCCCATCCACCAGGGCCTTTGGCAAATCCAGCCCCCAGCCCCTGTGTTCAAGGGACACATACCTAAGTATTTAAAACAAACAACCAGTGAGGAGGATCCAGTTGTGTCCACCAGCCCCTCCACCCCCTCCATCTAAGGGAGACATAACCTTCTCAGGTAGTCCACTCTTGTCCCTGGAGGTATCTAAGCAAAGCTGGCCACTTGCTGGCTGGGAGGCCAAAGAAGTTTTCCTGACCAAGGCAGAAGTCTTTGGCCATTTGAGGGAATAAACAGACCAGGTCAGGCTTTTCTCCCAGCTGGAAGCTGAAAGGGAATCAATTTCTAGCCACAGTATTGACACCCAGACTGCTGTTGCCAGAATGAGTAAGACCCCAGCTTCAGTTCCAAAAGGAGCACATTATGAGGTTGAATAGGAATTATGGGTGGTAGCATGTGCTGGGTGGGGTGGTGGTAGGGGGTGAGACAGTACTTGGGTGTTGTGACCCTAAGTTCCAGTTCAGGCTGAGGTCAGGCAGATGTCAAGTGCTCCTCCTGTCCACCCCCCAGAACTGGCCAGTGGAGGAATCATGAAGATGCACCCAGGTTCTTCATCTCTGAAGGAGTGGTGGGCTGCTGTTCCCAACTGAGTGAGGCCCAGTTTCCATAGTTAGGGGTAGGTAGTTGGCTGGAACTGAGACCTCACCTAAAATGGGAGAAGGTCCAGTGTGGCTTCAGTTTCCACCGTGGACAGCATCACGAGCATGTGTGAGTTGACAGAAGGGGAGGAAGACATGCAAAGAACACATACCAGCCCCTCCTTGGCCAGGATGAGGCATGGGAGAGGGAGAGGTAAGTGTGGCAAGGAGGCAAAGTCACAGGCCAAGGGTGCAGGGGTGCCCCAGAATAGTCCCTGGCTTTGATGGCTGGCTCCATCCTGGCCCAGCTGTTCATGGGTCAAGTCAAACCCAGTTCAGGGATGTCCCACCACAGGGGAGTAGAATTAGGAGAAAATGTTCCAGCTTTTCCTAGAGCAAGTCGGGATTGGACCCCCAGGACCCTGAGGTCACTTCCCATCCTGAGAATGCTTGAGGCTTTGATTCCTTACTGTTTCTCTCCTACAGACAAGTGCAAGTCTGGGCCCTGCCATCTGGAGAATTCAGGTAAGGGCTGCAGGCATCTGTGAGACTCACTTTGGGGATGAGAAGGTTGCCCTGGGGTTGGGAACCCTACCTGGATTTCCCTCTTATAAGGAAAAAAACCTCCTTTATCAAAAGAAGTGAACTCTCCTGATCAGGCCCCTATTTAGGTTGCTGATCTCCCTAGAGGATGACTCTGTCTGTATGGGTGTTGATCAGGGGGGAAGACACTCCTGCTCTCCAGGCTGGGCCTGCCCCTCCCTCACAGGAGAAAGCTACTGGTCAGACCCCAGAGAGGTTCAGGCTGCATTGAGGGGAGATGGGAAGGGCTGCTCCCCACAAAGCCCTACCTTGGGCCTTCTCCTCCCTCAGCTGCAGAGCCCACTGGCTCTGTGACTGCCCTCAGGGCTCCCTCGGACCCACCTTTGAAGGTCAAGGCAAGGCATTGGGTGCTAGAGGCCTGGGCTCTATCTAGTCCAAGCTCTACCCTAACTTTCTCTATGACCAACCCATTCTTTGTTTGGGCCTCAGTTTCCCTATCTAATAAATTGGAACAGATGATCCTCAGGTCCCTTTCAGCTGTGACTCTTCTCTTCCCTTGACCACCTGCTGTGCCTACCTGGGCCACCACTTCTCTAGATAGGAATGGGCCATTGCTGGGGAAGGAACGGCAGCTCCTCCTGCAGCTCTGGGTCTCTCTTCCTTCTCTTGGGCTGTGAGCAGTGGCCTGGAAGCATCTCCAGCCTCCACTTTGTTCCCACCATGATCCCTGATGCAGTAACTCAGAGTTCCAGGCAAACCATACCATTACTCCCCCCTACACTCCAGTGGTGTAGGTAGCATTACCAGCCCTGTTCTACAGAAGACAGAACGAAGGCACAGAGGAGCAGCAACCCGCCCTATGCCACACTGGTGGAAAGGGGCAGAGTCCAGATAGCCTGGCTCGAAAGCCAGACTCTGAACCCCTGCACCAAGATGCCCTATCCCTCCTAGACATCATCTCACTTTATCCTTATTGCACAATAATCTATCGAAGGGAGGTAGAACAGGGAGTATTACTCTCATTATATAGTAAAGTGAGACCCAGAGACAGAAGAGACTTGCCCAAGGTGACAGAGCGACTTAATGGCAGAGCCAGGACCAGAAGCCAGATCTCTAGCCTCCAACCCAGGCCTCCTCTTTAAATTCTGATGATGTAATTTCAGGCACAGGAAATATTTAAAATCTGCCCCCCTCCCACTCAGACCACCCAGCACATCTCCTTCCAGGGTTTGGGCAGAGGAGCCAAGTTCAGCATCACTCGATCCTACTCAGATCTCCACCCCATGTTCCATCCCACCCTGCAATGCCTCATATGTGTCAACAGACAGCAGGGGGTTGGACCTAATGACCTCTGGAAGGGGAACAGGGACTCTCAGTAGTCTCTTCATCTCTGTCCATCTTTCTCTCTAAATTCTTGCTCTTCATCTGTCTCCCGTTGCATTTTGTGTATCAGTCTTTTAGCTCACTCTGCTAGTCTCTCCATCTTGTATCTTCATGTCCTCACTTTGCTTCTAAATCTCTCTCTCTGCTGTTTTCTCTGCAGCCAGGGGTCAGGGCCCCCTCTCCGCAGTTTGGTTCCTCCTGCTGCTGCTCTGGTTCCTTGTGGTGGGGGCATTTCCAGAGAGTCCAGGCCACCTCTGATCCACCAGACACTGAACAGCCCTGCCTGCCACCTCTGCCCAACCTGAGGATGTTGACTATGTGTGTACTTTAAGTGTAGCCAAGATCCCTGGCAAACCCATTTGCAGGGAACTCTAGGCCTTCTTCTGGTGGAAAAATAGAGAATTTGGGGACTGACCCTACCCAGGGCTCTGGGATAGAAACTGAATCGAGGTAGGTGGATTCCAAGACCAACAGCAACTCACTTGAAGATGGAAGAGACTTCAACTCATTTGGGGAGTTACTGGGAGGGGAAAAGCACCTGGCCATGGCACTTTATGGTGTTACTCGAATGCCTCACATGTCCACCTGGAAAGCGCCTACTCATTCCTCCAAGAAGCCTTCTCTGATCTCTCCCACTTGGCTGGGTTAGGGGCCCTGCCTCTGTGCTCCCATGGGCCCCTGTGTCCTTCCCTACACCACGTCCATGTCTGTGTCCCATGTCAGACTGTGAGCTTCCTGAGAGTAGGGACTGGGTCTGAGGTAGAGGTGGTGCCAGGAAATGCATGAAAGTCAGAAAGGAACAAATACCTGTGAACGGTTCATCCCTGCACTGTCCCTACCTTGGACACTGTCCAGCTTTCTAAACATCAGTGTGTGGAAATGGGGTGGACTGTATCTAACTCCAGAGAACAGAGAGCAGGAGAGATGGCAGAGAGAGCTACAGGCCTCTCTCAGGGGCTCAGTCAAATCCCAGTCATTTTCTTGTCAGCAAATATGTAATTTCTGCTCTGATCCATGAGTCCTGAGGTTTCTGTCTCCAGACAAACCTGAATCTGCAACTTCCACCACCCTGGGCCCTAAAGGTGAGACAAGACATGGAAGAGGTGCTAGGCACACACTTTATTAGGAGTTGGGGCTTTCTGGACAAATGTCTGTGTGGCTTCCTGCTCTGGAAACCAGACCATGAATCCCCACTCCCCTTCCCTTAACTCCTAGGCATGGACAAGCAAGACCAAGTCCCTATAACAACAGCCACACAGGATGGGAGACAAGAAATACGGCAGTTCTGTTTCTTATATAATAACCCGCACTCTTGCCACGAAAAGCTCTGATGCCCATCATGGATGTTCGGTTCTGGCCCTCCGAGACTGTACTTTGATCTTGACCTTCCTAGAGTTCCTCCTCTTTAGGAATTAAGAGAATGGCAGGTTCTGGTCTTGAATGCTCCCTCATGGACTGTGAAGTTGGGGAGCAGTGGGGGGAGACTGGCTGGCTATCTGAGGACCAACAATGACCAGGCCTTTGCCATCCCCGTCTCGATGGGCTGTGGCTGTAGCTGACCCTAGGACCCAGTCCCAGTCCCTCACAGGGCCTGCACCAGCACCAGGAGGCTCATGACCAGGGCCATGGAGAAAAAGATGCCCAGGAAGAAGCGGTCCATCACACGGGCCAGGCGCTTCCAGTCCTCATGGCGGTGCTGGGCAGCCCGGTGGCTGTGGAAGATGTTGGCAATGGTGGCTACATGGTGCAATAGGGCTTCCTGATGGCACAGACACCGTGGCTCCTGGCAAGGGCCTGCTGGGGGACTAGCCCTTCCCTCAGGAGGCTGGGGACTGGAGGATGACTTGGGTGGCCTGGACAGCCCACAGGGCTCCCCTCGTTCCCGCACACACAAGCCCCGTGCCAGGTGTCGCAGCAGGAGGGCCCGGGCCCAGGCTGGCACTGGGCGGGCACTGGGACCACAATAATGCAGGTTCATGATAAGGATGGTGAGTGCTGTGGAGAATGTGACCATGGTCATCGTGGCCATGTAGTACTTCCCTACAAGAGAGAGAGCCAGTTGGGGCCCAAAACAAGAACTTGGGGATCCTGGGCTTCCCAGCCACTTCCACACAAATAGTAGGAAACCCATCATGATGTTCTCATGACTTTCCAAGCCCAAAGGATGGAAGCTGGAAGAAAGTAAGGGCCTAGTTCTCTCCATCTCTCATTCCCACAAGTGCATCCTCAGAAGCTCCCTGCTTCCTACTGCATTCCTTGCTGCTAGAGACTGCACTCACACAATCCATCCAAGTCACGCTCCCAAATAGTTACGCGCACAACCTGGGGCAAAACATCTACCCTTTCTGTACAACTGGGCTGATAACAAGAGAACCTACCTCATAGGTTTGTGGTGATGCTTACCTGAGTTAATAAATGTCAAGTGCTTAGGGGAGTGCCTGGCACAGAGCAAGCACTTGATACGTTTTGCCTATTATTACGAGACTGGGGGCAGGGATCTTTTTCCATCAAGGCTTTGAAAAAAGACCGACTCTTGGGCCGGCCGTGGCTCACTCAGGAGAGTGCGGTGCTGATAACACCAAGGCCGCGGGTTCGGATCCTGTGTAGGGATGGCTGGTTGGCTCACTGGCTTGATAACACCAAGCCAAGGGTTGTTGAGATCCCCTTACCGGTCATGTTTTAAAAAAAAAAAAAGAAAGAAAGAAAAGAAAAAAGACCGACTCCTTCCCGCTCATAGAACGGCGAGGGATGTTTTCCCTGGCAGGGGCCTACTCCTTTCCCTTCAACGTTATGAAGAAGACACGCACCCAGGACGCACACTCTGTCTCACACTGTGGTGGGAGCCACTCTGTTACCCAGGCCCTGACCCGGCCCCACACTTGGCCGAACACTGAGCTCCCGCCCTGGCACTGGTGGAGACCCGCGCACTCTCCCCAGGCCCCGGCCCGCTCACCGATGAGCGGCACACTCTCGGCCGGTGGCATGCTCTCGGCCAGGAGCAGCTGGAAGACGGTGAGCGCCAGCAGCACGGTGACGCCAAGCGACACCTTCTCGCCCGAGTCTGCGGGCAGGTGGAAGGCGAGCGGCGCGAGCAGCGAGATGAGCACGCAGGGCAGCAGCAGGTTGCACACGTAGGCGGCGGCGCGGCGGCGCAGCAGCAGCGTGAAGGTCACGTCGGGGTAGGGCTCGGAGCAGCAGCCGTAGGTGAGCACGCGCCGCCGCGCCGGCATGCCCAGCACGCGCCACTCCACGTTCTCCACGAAGTCGGCCAGGCTGGCGGCTGTGCCACGCGGCCGCACGTCCAGCTGGTGGCCGCCGTGCGTCCACGAGCCGAACGTCAGGCCGCAGCGCTGCGCGTCGAACGGGAAGGCCGACACGTCCACGCGGCACGAGCTGCGCGTGATGGCCGGCGCGTCCCAGCGCACGCCACCGTCGTGCCGCACCACCACGTTCGTGCTGGCCGAGGCGGGAGGCTGCGCGTCCGCCCTGCGGGCAGGCGGGGCGGGGCTCACCCAGGCGGCCCGCGGAGCGTGGGGGCGGGGCCGACACCTGAAGGGGCTCTGTGGGTAGAGGGGTCCTCCGGGCTGCAAAGCAGCCGCGGGCAGCACGGAGGGGACTGCCCTCTGCCTTTGGAGGCCTCCAAGGGGCGGCGCCTAGGGAGCCCCAAAGGGACGCAGCTCTAGCCTAGGACAGCGTAAAAAGGCCTCGGCAAAACATGGAAGTGGCTCTGGGCTGCACAGTGACATCCCTTGGGGGCTCCAGGGAAAATACGCAGAGCCACGTGTTGGCTGGGAGACTCAGAACTGCTTAAAGAGGTGTAAAGGAATGATCCACAGGGCTAGGCCCTGGTGGAAAGAGATCCTTAAGCAGGCTCTTGGGGAACCCTGAGAGATTCAGAGCTGGCCTAGAAGGGCACAGAGAGACACTTGTGCCCCGGACACCTGTCTTCAAAAGACACAGAACTGGCCCTGGACCACACAGTAGGGTCCCAGGAAACATTCAGCCTGGATTAGCCTGGGACAGCCTAAAGTGGGAGGGTGCCAGGAGGGACCGTGAACTCTTGGCAGCTTACAAGGGTCCTGGGGGAAAGCTTCCAGGGCAGCATAGCAACGGGTAAGGTGGTAGGGAGAGGGGATCAGTGCATACCCAGGGCTAAGGGCAACTCTAAGGAGGGTAGGAGAGGGGAGGGGCCCAGGCAGGCAGTACTTGTTATAGAGTACGATGTCTGGCCGCCATACAAGACTGCTGGGGATGCGGATGGCATCCAGCCCACCATAGGCATCAGGGTCCCATCGTAGGTAGGCATCTGTCCATTCCTGACGGATCCATAGGTACAAGGTCAGCACCTGGTTCCGTTCATCCTAATGGGGGGCAGAGAGTGGGCACAGCTGTGGATACATGTATATGCAAACCCTCCCGTTTGTGTACACTCACCTATTGGGTTCTGATCAGCACCCACAAAGCCAACTTGCCCATAAGTCCAGTTCTCACCCAGTCCTGACCTTGCTGTGTGACCTTGGTGGGTTCTTTTCTTCTCTGGACCTCAGTTTCCTCAGCAGTTATATGGGGTGATAATCTCTGCTTTGCAGGGATTCAGTGAGTTAAAGTATGCAAAGTGTTGGGCGGGGGGATACCCAGCAGTTAGTAACTGTTATCATTGTTGTTAATATTAACGTTTACAGAAAAAGAGTATAGAGAATGATTCCTGCCTCTCACCCCTTCGATCCTTGACACTGTTACAGGTAACACTGCATAGCTGTACCACACAACGCACCATGTCAATGATCTGGGACAATGTCACGTCCAGGGTCACATTCAGAGTCTGGTCTGTGTCTGCCACAGGTCTCAGGGCACGTGTGTAGTTTGTGAAGAGGTCACGGAACAGCTTGTGAGCCAGCATTCCCTCAGCTCCCAAGCACTCTGGAGGATCAGTAAGAAGGGTTGTACATGACATTATTACAGGGGCCTCTGCTCACACCCTCCACTCCCAGGGATGGGAACTGTCACCTGCTCCACTATCGCACAGCCTTTCCAGTGGTCCTGATGTCTGCCATCTGTCCCTCTAGCTGTGGCTTTAATTCCTCCCTGGCCTGCCTCCAGGGGTGAATGAGGTAAAGTCCATAGAGTGAATTGATACCTATCTTCTGGAGCAAGGCTGACAGATTCCTTCCCTCCCATCCCTTCCCAAGGACCTGGATTCTACTTGCCCTGCCAGAGTGCTAGAGGGACCCAGATAGGCCAGAGAAGTCCAAACTGTCACCTGGGCATTCTGAACCCCATTGCCACACCCCCTCCAGTCTCTCAAACCTGTTTCTACTTCTCCATTTGTACTTGATAGTTTCTTCAAAGCTTCTGATACTAAGGGACATTCCCTCCTTCTGAAAACACATTCTTCAGTAAGCTTTCATGACACACATTTTCCTCAGTCCCTGCTTTAAATATTGTTCCCCCAAATCCTGTCCTTGGCTCTCTTCTTTTTTTTCAGCCCATATTTTTCTCCTGAGCTCCAATCCCATGTATACCACAGTCCACTCCTGAGTTTCTTACAGGTACCTTAAACTTTGTAGGTCCAATATGAACTCACTTCCTCCCCCCATGCTCTGAAACCTGCTACTCGTCGGTGTTCCCTATAAGCAAACAGCACCCCCAGTGATCTCAGCCAGAAATGTGGTAATCATCCTTCCCTCCTCCTCCCCCTGCAATCCAACCAGTCTCCAGATCCTGTCAGGTCTGTCAAACCCTGCTAAGCATCTCCTGATTTGGCTGACTCCGTCCTCACCTCCCCAGCTCAGGCCCCACCCTCTTTCACTTGGACTATAGTGGCAGCAGCAGTAGCAGCAGCGGCCTTGTCAGAGCTCCCCTGCCTCAGGCTCACCTTATCCTCACCTCCCCAGCTCAGGCCCCACCCTCTTTCACTTGGACCATAGTGGCAGCAGCAGTAGCAGCAGCGGCCTTGTCAGAGCTCCCCTGCCTCAGGCTCACCTTCTCCTACCACCCTCC